CATCAGCACCTAAGAGTGCGTCCCAGCCTTCCCCATCAGCCTTAGAGCATGTCCGCCAACCAGCAGGCACACTGGTCACACGTTGCCTCTGCCTGATGAGCGCCTACTCACCTTGGCTCCACCTTCTCTTCTCCTCCCTCACAACCATCCAGGGCTCTTTCCCTTGTTCCAACAGGGTGATCACATCTGGCTTAGAAATGGAGCATCCTGCTTGAAAGAACAGAGCAGAATATATGTACAGAATAAATCTATTTGCCAGGTGGGGCGATACTTGGCTGTGACCCCAGCATTTGGAAGGAAAAGGGAGGAGGATCGGGGTGTAGTGTCATGGCTACCTAGTGAATGCAAGACGAGGTACAGGAGACTTTGTGTGTGGTCGGGGCACATGCAGAGTTTTATTTATTATTATTAATTTATCATTATTATCATGGTTTTGGATACAGGGTTTATCAGTGTACCTTTGGTTGTCCTGGAACTCACTTTGTAGACCAAGCTGGCCTCAAACTGAGAGATCCACCTGCCTCTGCCTCCTGAGTGCTGGGATTAAAGGCATGTGTCATCACAACCCAGCTGTTTAATTTAGTTTTTTTAACTTTTATTTTTATGTGTGTGGGTGTTTTGCCTGCATGTATATCCATGCACCATGTGCATGCAGTGCTCTCAGAGGCCATAGGAGGGCGCTGGATCCCCTGGAGCTGGAGTTACAAATGGATGCTGGGAACCAAACCTATATATTCTACAAAAGCAGCCAGTGCTCTTAACTTATGAGCCATCTCTCCAGGATCCAAAGATTCTGTAGTCAACTCTTCAAAACAACGATGGCTCTCAGGGTAGGAAAACACTAGAATTTAAAGTCTTTTAGTATCAAGGGTAGAGACATGATTTTATTTTCATTTAAATTTATACAACTCCAACCTTTTAAAACTTATTTTTAATTATAATTATGTATTTGATCCATGTGGGATCATGAAAGTGTTTCACAGAGGTGCCCATTCCAAACCACGGAGAGAGGGTCTCCCGGTGGTCAGCGCACGCGACAGTGATGGAGGTGAGCTTACCCAGGGACACCAGGTGGCTGTAGTTCTCTAACATCACATCTTTGTACAGGTCCCGCTCGTGAGAATTCAGGCATTCCCACTCCTCCTGAGAAAAGTCCACAGCCACGTCTCTGAACATCACCTCACTCTGAAACGACAAGCCGTTTACTGTGTGTAAGATAAACCGCGATAAGATGGACTGGGGTGGGGGTGGGGGGTGTCTAAGTTACTGTTCCGTGACTGTGAGGAAACACCAAGACCAAGCCAGCTCTTATAAAAGAGCATTTAATTGGGGCCTTCCTTGTAGTTTTAGGTTAGTCCATGGTCGTCATGGAAGAAGACAGGCATGGCAGCTGAGAGCTTTACATCCTGATACACAGGCAGCAGGCAGATGACAGACAGACAGACAGACAGACAGACAGATGCATAAGAGAAAAAGAGACAAAGAGACAGAGAGACAAAGACCTGGGCTTGGTGTGGGCTTTTGAAGCCTCAAAGGTCACCCCATAAACATGACTCCTCCAAAAAGGCCACACCACTTAATCCTTCCCAAATATTCCCACTAATTGGGGACCAAGTTTTCAAATATATGTGTTATGGGAATTTTGTTTATATCATGGTCTGTTGTCCATTTGAATAGAGCGTTTGGTTCAAGAGGTGGGGATCACATTCAGCAGACCGGAAATTAATCAGAGTCCTTGGTGGACTCAGGAGAGAGAAAGAGAGGTCCCTGGGAAGAGGGGTTGGGGCTGGAAGCTGCGAGGCCTTTTAGGAGCTGGGAGGCAGGCGGTGGCAGGTGTATCATGACCTTGGTGGTTGTCTCAGGTTCTTATCTTATATTTGTCCCCGAGTTTTAATATAACAAACAGTACTATAAATCATTTCACACATAAGCCTCTGGGAGCCATTCTCATTCAAACCCACAGGAGGCTAAGCAGATGGCTCAGCAGTCAAGAGCACCGCTGCCCTGCCGATCCAGAGGTCCCGGCGCTCACGCTGAGCACGCATAACATGTATTTGCAAACACACACACACACAGACACACACACGCGTGCATCAAAATTAACTAAGAACATCTTGAGAAAATGTTTACAAGAGGCAGGAGAGATGGCTCCGAGGTTAAAAGCTCTTCTGCTCTTGCAGAGGGCCCAGGTTTGGTCCCCAGAACCCACATGGTGGCTCAGAACCACCAGTAATTCCAGTTCTAAGGGATCTAATATCCTCTTCCGATACTGAGGGCTCCAGCATGCATGCAGTGCACATATGTACACTCAGGCTCACTCACATACGATAAAATTAAGTAAATATTTAAAAAGAATAAAATAGGTAAGACTATATATGTGCCTTTACTCTGCCAACAATGGAAAGTTTAAATTACTTATGGAGTAACTGCTCACAGTGCAATTCTGTGGGAGCAGTGATATTTGAAGGAGAGGTTTTCTGATCCTCAGGGGTTCACATCAAGTAAGCTCCTGTCAGGGACCGATTTGGTCAGTGCACCCTCGGATGGAGACAGACAGAAGGGAACACAGAGCAGGCAGGTGCGGGGGTTCCACTCCCCCCCCCCCCCGTGTAGTGGAAGACTGGGGAGCAGCCGGAGGATCGGATTCTGTTAGGAAGTGTTTGTTCAACCTCACAGACCAAAACTGACAGGGCAGTCAAGAGGGTGCACTGGGTAAAAGCTGCCACGGCCACGCCAGGTGACGTGATGGGTGGAAGGAGAACTGGCTCCTTTTCCCTGCACAGACACCTGCGGCAACCCCCCCCATGAATAAACATAAATAAATAACTACATGCGCTTTATCCCAGGGACCCACGTGGGAAGCTGAGGATTTGGGTCTATCCTCAGGACAAACCAAGGAGAAGGAGAGAACCAACTTCAAACGTTGTGCCCTGACAGTCATGTGTGTGCCACAGCATGCTATGTCCACGTGTACATGCACGTGTCCCACAGCATGCTCATACCCATATTGCATGCACACACACACACACACACACACACACACACACACACACACACACACAGATGTGCCACAGCATGCTTAGGCCGCATGTGCATAAATAAATAAATACTGTAACTTTTTAAAAACAGAATTTGAGATACAGAGAAACCAACTTACATGAGCCATGGTTCTAGAATTGCAAGAACTGGCTTGTCCTTCGTCAAGGATCACGCCCTGGAGAAGCCGGTCAGAGCTAGAGCTGGGGAAGAGGATGCAGCCATGAGATCAGAGCTGCCTCAGAGCTTCCAAATTTTAAGTGTCAGTGTATCCCATTTCTCCCTTCTTACATGCAACTCAGATTTGCAACACAAACTGCGGGAGGTGGGAGGAGGGAGGCGGGAGGTGGGAGGAGGGAGGTGGCTTACAGTCCTTTATGTCCTCCTCCAAACTACAGGGCAATCAGCAGCAAAATGTGGCAGTGAGACTTCAGGATGCTCTGGGGTCACCTAGAAGACCGGGCGTGTTGGCTCAGGGGTTAAGAGCATTGGTTGCTCTTCCAGGGACCTAAGTTCGATCCTCAGCACCCACATGGTCCTCACAACCTACTTGTTACTCCAGATCCTCCCGGACACTTGTAGGTGGCGCACATACATGTAAACACACACATAAAAGTGAGTTTTAGAAGAAAGAATGCGCTTTCCTGGCGTGTGTTTGCTCTGCAGCCCTGAAAAGAGAGAGCTCACAGGCCTGCACGAGCTCTGTCGCTGAGCTACAGCCCCAGCCCTTGTATTTGTGAAAATTCCCCAAGAGACGAAGCAGCTGATCCAAATGTCACAACCAATGGGCCAGGCCTGCTGTCGCAAGACTTCGATCCCAGCACTCGGGAAGCAGAGGCAGGCGGATCTCTGTGAGTTAGAGACCAGCCTGGACTACAGAGAGAGTTCCAGAACAGCCAAGGCTACACAGAGAAGCCCTGTCTCAAAAAACAAAAACAAACAAACAAACAAAAACCGACCTGTGCAGGGGAGGAGGATGGGCCTCAGTGGTATCTCCAGCCACCAACCTCAGTACGCTTAAATAACACGCTAGGCCTTACAAAACACACACCAGCCTTTAGCACAGGTATTTCAGTATTGGAGAACCCTAAGAAAAACGGGCCAACTACATGGATATAGCACGTGAGTAATCAAGCATAGAATCCCACCATCCACTGCTCTAAAAAGGTCTCACTGAAAATGTAGGGAAATTCTCAGACCCTGAGCAATGAATAATTCATTCTTTTTTGCCTTTTTTATTTTGCAGACAAGGTCTCGGTGTGGTCCAGGCTGGTTGGTCTTGAATGCATCATCCCCGTGGAGTGAGTGGCAGCGACATCACTCACAGAACTGAATAAAACATTTTCACAGAGAGCTTTCAAAGGGAAGGAGATTAACCTCATGTCCTAAAAATTCAGACAGACTTCACAGAAACACAGAGGCACCAGAAACTCACATGTAATCTCGCCTTTAAACAGAAGTAGCGGCTGCTGGCTTCTAGAACCTCTTCCCAAAACCTGCAGGCTGGAAAGGTGGAGCAAATTCAAGACATTCCAGGCCTTCTTTCTTTCTTCTTCTTTATTTTTTTTCTTTCAGATGGGGTCTCTTGCAACCCAAAAGTCAGGCGGCAGAGGATGATGACCTTGACTGTCTTATCCTCCTGCCTCCACCTCCCAAATCCTGAGATCACAGGCACGGCTTCACTCCCACGCTTTTCTGAACTTGGTCAGAGCCCCCTTCCACGCTTCAGGGATCCCAACTGACCCCACCCGCATGCACCACAGCAAGCGACAGGGAGACTGGAGGCAGTTCACGGTCACTCGTGCCCGAGTCTGCTGCTTCGGCTAGCCTGTTCAGAGGACACCGGGGTTACCGCCACCCCTGGTGCTGCCCGGCCTCTAGTTCCGTGGTGTCCCGCGGTTCTCATCTCCCCGAGGCCTGCCCGGCATCTAAGGCTCCCACATTCTGCACAGGGTGTCTCCACGGTGCAAACCGACCCCGACTTCCCTCTCGGTCCCCGTCAGCAGCCAGTCCGGGTTTAGCAGCACGATAGGCTGCACCCACGGATGACCACCCGAGCGCCCGGGGTCCGCAGAGCGGGCCCCGCCCTCGAGTCCCCTGGAAGAGCGTAGGCCGTGCGAGTCGGGCTCACCCGACTGACGGGCGCGGCGCCCGGACGGTGGGTCCCGAGTGCGCCGACACGACAGCGGTCGGTGACCCTGGCCTCGGCGCTGCAGCGGTGGCACTGACTTGCTACTGAGGGCTCTGGGGGTTCAGATCTTAAACTAGAAAGTCCCGGCGCCGCCCGCTTCTTTCACAGGGTTCTGGATTCCCTACCGAGACAGCGAGCCCCGCCCCCAGCTCCTGGAGCGGGGGGGGTGGGGGGGGTGGCTGTGCGACATTGCGCAAGCGCACAAGGGACCCGCGGCGTGAGAAAGGCTTTGAGAAAGGTCAAACAACCTGAGAAAGTTTAAAGCAGAAGGATTGTTGAGGTTAGCCTGGGTTACTGAATTCCAACCTGGGCTACATACAAAGCAAGACCCCGTCTGAAAGTAGTGAGCTCGGCCAATGGTAGAATGCTTGCGTAGCAGGCGAAAGGCTAGATGGTCCAATCCCCAGCGTTGGGAAAGCAGGAAAAAGACATCCATGCTAATGATGATGTAGCTTCATAATTTAAAAAACTCCAGAGGCAGAGGTGGATGCAGGAGAATTACAAGTTCAAGGCCTACATTGGCAGCTTTGTGCAACTGTCTCAAGCAGCAAAAAAACATACAAATGTAAAATTGTTACAGACAATACATAGCCAGTGTTCAGATTGAACTGCTGACAAGATCTGTATATTCGCTACTGGTCTCTCATGACATTAAACTGACACAGGGTCTTTGTCCAGGCTGGCCTCTGCTTCCACTGATGATCCTACTCAGCGTCCTAGGAAAGGCACCTACCTACCTTTGGGTCTAGGGGAGGCTGACATACAGAGCCTTGTGGTACCCAGGTCATTGTCACTGAGCTATGACCTCATCTGCTTTGTGATGACAGCTTGGTTAGCTTTAGGTGACCCCAGGCACAAAGCTCGTTTCCCACCTTGGTTTGTGATCTTCTTCCATCTCCAGAGTGCCGGGAGTTCAGCTGTGCACCACTGTACAGTTTGTGAAGGGCAAATCAGCCAGGCTTTTGTGTATCCTAAGTGAGCAAGCTACTGTGTTCCATCTCTAGCCACTGTTGTGCTTTGCCCCCCCCCCCTCGTTTTTGAGACAGGGGTTTTACTGTGTAGCCCTGTCTGTCCTGGAACTCACTCTGCAGACAAGGTTGGAAAGATGCCCCTGCCTTTGCTTCCCAAGTGCTGGGACTAAAGGCGTGCCCACAACCTCCCAGCTGCTTTTCTTTTTGTAGGACTAGGAACCTGATCCTGTTTAACGTGGCACTTTGTTTTATTTGCAGTATGAGATGAGACTATATAGCTGGTAAAATATGCTGTTTCATGAGCTGCTTGCGAATGGCAGAGTATATACAGCAATCTGACCTCTCTTCTTACATACAACAGTCTAACCGAGTCTGCTCTGTGACTGGAAAAGTTGACTAAGATGTGATGGGGATGACCTGTTGCTGTGGTAAGACTGACAAAAAGCAATGTAGGGAAGAAAGGGATTTCTTCAGCTTACAAATCCATCATAGATATGGGGGTCCAAGGCGGGAACTTAAAGCATCGCATCCACATGGAAACAGAATAAATGCATGGACTGTTGCTTGTCTGCCAGCTCTCTTTACTTTTACATAACTCGGCGCCCAGGCTATGGAATGGTGCCGCCCACAGTGGGCTGGGCCGCTCTACACCAATTAACCAACACAACCCACTAGACAGCAGGCCAACCTGATTTAAGCAATTCCTCGGAAAGACTTTCCTGGAAGTTGATTCTAAGTGTCAAGTTGACAGTTAAAACTAACAACATACTTAAGACATATTAAGCATGCACCAACTTTCAGGGCTTCTTCTCCATCCACAGGCCAGCCATGCTCATCCGGGTATCGGCATGGAGAGTTCTGAAGGCATGATCAAGGCTAGGCAGCTCCAGAGTAAGACATTCTTCATTTAAAAGTTCACATTTTTGAAGGCCATAACCTGAAGCTGGCTGTGGTGGCCCATGTCTGAAACCTCAGCACTCAGGATGAGGCAGAAGTGTCCTGTGGGTCGAGGGCAGCCTGGGTCTCTTTGGCGACTACTTTCTGCCTTCCTTTTTGAGGCAGGATCTCTCCTACATATGGAACTTGCTGACTGAGCTAGACTGGCTGGCTGTCTATCTCCCCACCTCTTCTTCCTCCCTCCCCCACAAGGTAGCCATGGAAGCACACTGCTTCTCCTTGGTATTTGATGTGAGTGCTGGGATCAAAGTCCAGGTCTGAATCCTTGTTTGGCAAGCACTTTACTGACAATTGCCCCAAGTCCCCCAAATGAGGAAAATTTAAACCGTAATAGTTGTCAAATATTTATTTATGTTCAATAACACATTTTAAGCCACTTCCCCACGGGGCATGGTGGTACATGCTTGTAATCAAACCGGGACACATTCAAGGCCATCCTCAGCTACACAAAGAGCTTACCAAGTACCAAAACACTTTATTAAGCAATTTTATGTTTGGAGACAGACTCTTATTATGTAGCCCTGGCTGCCCTGGAACTCACCGTGTAGATCAGGCTGGCCTTGTACTCAGAAGATCCACCTGCCTCTGATTAAAAGCAAGAAAAGAAAGGGAGATCATCAGGCCATAAAAGCCAAGAAACAGATCCAAGACAGGTGATGCGGTATACACCGTTAATCACAACACTCTAGAGGCAGAGGGAGGACTGCTGTAGGCCCCGGGTCAGACAGGACTCCATTGCAAGGCCATATTTCAAAAGGAAAGAGGGGCTGGAGAGCTGGCTCAGTGAGTAAGAGCGTGCGCTGCTCTTGCAGAGGACCTGAGTGTGGTTGGTTTTGGGTTCATAGCACCCAGTGCCTCAGAACCACCTCAACTCTGCCACAGGCGAGCTGATGCCTTGGCTCCACAGAAGTCTCCAAAGCGCCAGCACTCACATGCACAGACCACACAGAGTCTCACTGTGCAGTCCTGGCTGGCCTAGGACTCTATGTAGGCCAAGCTAGCCCTATATTCTTAAATCTTCTTGCTTCTGCATCCTGAGTTCTGGGATTAAAGGGAGCAGAGGAGAGGAATGCCCAGATCAGCTGGGCAGAGGTCCAACTGGATGTGGGCATGCACCTGTAATTCCAGCATGTAGGAAGCCGATGGGAGGGTCAGAACGTGAAGGCCAACGTAGGCAAGACTTATCTCAAAATAAAAACAGCATTTAAAGTGGGGAAGTAAGTCCAAAAATCTAGGAACACAGCTTGTTTGTGTTTAAAACTGACAGGACCGAGTGCTGAGACATCCAAGTCGCCATCCACGAAGAGGGACATGATGCCCTGCCAACCTCCGCATACCCAAGCTGCAGTATTTACAATGTAAATCATAACATCAACCATAAGAGGAAAGCAAGGGATTTTTGAAAATATACTGGGATGAAAAAAATGACTTACAAGCATCACCACGAAAACAGATCTCTTCCAATCATGAACTGGCTACATTTACAAACCCAAATCAGACATAAAAAAAAAAAAAAAAAACTAGTGTAACCACAAACTAGAGAAAACGGTCGTTAAGTATTACACAGCCAGCAGGAAAACAATCGTTCACCAGAAAATAGTATTAAGACAGTTCACAGAAAATGCAGTATTTGAAAATATGGAAGTATGGCATTAAAAGCAAATTACATTCAGCAGAAAAATGCAAATTAAAACTGTCGTAATGTTTCACTGAACAGAATGGCAAATCAGACTTTAATAAGGTGTCAGCAAAGGCAGAGGGAGCTATACAACATCCGAGAAAGAACCAACCGCTATTAGCCTTTTGTAAATGCGCATGTACTCAAAACAGCAAAGGCAACCCAGGGGTGGAGCTTTCCTAGACACCTGCACATAGAAGCTAATATGTACAACGACAGTCACCTCATTCTGTATTTCAAAGGAAAGAAGACCTCAGTGAGGGACTGATTCAGTTAACTGTGGGGAGGCCAAACAATAACACTACACAGACAAGGACTATGAGCAAGGAAGTTAGTCTTTATTTCCTAATATTTTCCACTTTCTACACTTAGAAACACTAACGGACGTATGCTTCGATAAGGTAAAGAATTTAATTTCAGTGCTGAGGGGACGGAGTCTCACTGTGTAGCCAAGGCTGTCAAGGGCCTTCCACTCCTGAGTGCTGGAATGCAGGCCTTAGTTACTATGGCTCCAAACCCCTCACACCCCTAAGACAGGAAGGGTCTCACTGTGTAGACCAGGCTGACCTGGAACTCAGAGATCATCTAGCCTCTGCTTCCTGAAGTCTAGGACTAAAGATGTGCAACACCTCACCTAGCTTCGACAATTCCTTAACAGCTAAAGATCGCCCCAGAATATGTCAGCTGCTTAACAAGTTATATGGATGCTTGCCTCCCAGTGAATTGCTGCTTTCAACCTATTCTTCCTCTTTCATCTTTTAAAACTCTCCAGCATCTTGAGACAGTGAATTTCTCACTGACCTCAGTTTTCTGGACCTGACCCTCGCATTCCCTAGGTTATCTGAGGGGAAGTATTTCCCCTCAGCTCCATCAAGTTCTAACTAGTGGTTTCTCTGAAGTTATTGAAAAGTATATTTCCAAAGATATGGAGAGACATCTCTGGGCCTATGCAAGAAGGCATTGTATATAATTTGAACCAACTGAGACTTATTCAAACTTGAAGTTCAAGACACAGAAAATAATTTCTTATATAAGAATATTTTGTAAATTTGGAGTCAAGGTATGTCTGTTAAGCCTTTCATTGGTATTTGTCCAAATGTTCTATCCTGATTTTGCCCAAGACAGGCACGTTAAAATCCAAGCTGTCTCTTCTCTTTGTAGTGTAGCCTTTGCTTTTTATCTATGGAGGCTGTGCTATTAGTTACAAATAAAAACATTCAATCCTTTTAATGACGTGAACCTTTGAACACTATGTCATTTTTTTCCATTTTCTTTTTTTTTGGTAAATCATTTTTGTTCTTCAGCTCTTCCTTGTGTGATTTCTTTGGTTACTATCTCAACAGCATGGGTTTCTCTCCCCATCCTTTAATTTCAATCCTTTTGTAGCATTGTCTTATTTATCTATCTATTTATTTTTGAGGTGGGGTTGCTCTATGTACCCCAAGCTAGTCTGAAACAACAGCAATCTTATCTTCAGCTCCCGAGGGGTACAATTCCAAACGTCCCACACCAACCTAGTCTTTCATTTAAATAAGAAAAAAACCTTTCTTTCAACTATAGTAATCAGCCTATTCAAATGATTTTTGGAATTACTGATACAATGTCTACCATCCTACCACACAACTTCCCACTGGCTCCTTCTGGGTTCACTGTCTTTGTTTGCGGTCTTATTTTGATTACTGGTTGCTTCTGCTTTTCTCAGCTACCTTCTATGATTCTAGCATAGACAGGCTCTCATGTGGCCCAGGTTAGCCTTGAACAGTCCTGATTTCCTACACCCACCTTCTCAGCGCTGGGATTACATGAGTGCACCAACTTACGCGGCTAAGACAGATCACCTTACGAAAAGGATGGACTGGCAAAGGTATTATGTTGACAATCTGTTTCAAATGTCCCTGCTATCTGGTACGACAGCACGGGGGAAGCCGCAGCCTGGGCCACATGGATCCTATGGCAAACAACAGCTTGCTTCCCTGCTTGAACACTGTCACACGCTCCACTTAAGGGAACACAACCATTTTTCTACTTTTTAAGGGTATACTGGCTTGATTCTCTGGGTCTGTGAATCAGTCTGAAAAATTTATATATAGTCACCAAAAGTTACTCTAAACATTTCAAATTTAACTCAAATAACACTGAACAATTATTTCATAGCAGTAACCCTTTCTAGCTGTACCCGGTGGCAGACGTCTGTAATCCCAGCTGTCAGAGGCCAGTGCTAGGAGATGAGCTCAAGGCCTGCCTTGGCAGTTTAGCAAGACCAGGCCTCAGAAAATAGAGGGCTGGGGGCGGTTCAGTGGCAGAACACATGCTTAGCAGGCTCCTGGCTCTGAGTTCAAGGCAGTGTGGGGGCACACACTGCTAATCCCAGCACTCAGTGTTTTGAAGCAGGAGGATTGCCACAGGATTACGAGGGACCCTGTCTTGAAATAAAACCCACCAAAGCCAACTGACAATATTTCTGCCTGCAAATGTTCTGCTTCCTTCCCATTAGCCCTGACTGTTACACCTGTGTCTTCCAAATGTCTCCTTAGGACCTGGAAAATCCAGTCTACTATCAGATGGTTTAGGAAAAACTGTTAAGGTCCAGTTACCGATTTTATTGATTTTCTTAAGCTCTTTTAAATTAAGTAATCAATTATTGTAATAATATCTATTTCTGCTGTCGCCTCTAGAATTTGATTTTTTGATTGAATATTTTATAGCATTTATGCAGATGAGCCGCATCATGTTTTATTATGCAGAGCTGCCTATCTTCCACGCTGAAGCACGCTGTATTTTCAGACTGAATTTTTCACGTAATCCAGAAGTTACGTGGTGACGGTTATAGATTGCAGCTGTGCTCCATTTCCCACCCTGCAAACCCGTCTGTCCTGTGTAAGTAAACTCACAGTCTCTGCTACAGAGGACCCTTTGAGCCTACCTTCCAGCTAAATGCAGTGAGTCCCGGCAGCCGCGCCAGAGTCAGCTGCCTGGTTCAACTGAAGCTGAGGTGAAAAGCTGCTCACCATGTTCTGGTCCGACCACTGTCGCCAGAACTCCCCATGAGAGCCTTGCTCCGGGACAGGCTGACAGGAGACGGCATTAATAAAACGCACATGAACATTCTACTAATAATAACGAAGACTATGATAGATAGATGGTTCCTAATGTTTCCTAATCATTCCTCCATGCTACTGACTATGCCAAAGTTCCCTCTACTAAAGTCCTCACAAGAGCCTTACTACTGACTAACAGGCAGCAATCTGAAGTGCAGCAGTTAGCTAATAATAAAATACAGGTGGCAAATGATGCACGGGATAGCGTCTACACCAAGAAGGCCCACGCAATCATTCTCTATGTGGCATTTTCTATAGCTATAATTAAATGTAACCCTTTTACTGGTAATAGAATTAGTATTTCTAGTCATAATTTAATTTTTATTTTTCCTATGTGAATTAATGTTCAATAAATTGTAGGTTATAAAGCAAAAAAAAAGAAGTACAGTTATCAGACGGTCTTCTCTTACAAACTCTTATTCGGTATCGAATAGCTGAAAAAAACGAGGGCTTCCTGTTCTAATCACCATAGTATAAATTACACAATGTTAAGAGGCTCCATATGCCTCACTTCCAGGCTTTTCTCAGCAGGGTCAGGGTAGCTGAGGGACACCTACGGGTGTTTCCCATATTTCTGATCTTATCAACATTTTTCTTCCATACATACATGAAGATGTTGAACAAATAAAGGGCAGTATTCAAATACATAGAATTTCTCCCATTGTGTGTATTCTCTGGTGCTTCTTCACCTGCAAGAGCCGAGTAAAGGCCTGTCCACACTCCTTGCATTCATAGGGCTTCTCGCCAGTATGGATTCTTTGATGCTGCGTAAGGTGGGACCTCTGTCTAAAGGCCTTGCTGCACTGCTGACATTGAAAGGGTTTCTCCCCAGTGTGGATCCTCTGGTGTAGAATAAGAGTTTTACAATCGATAAAAGCCTTTCCACACTCTTTACATTCATAAGGCCTCTCCCCAGTGTGAATTCTCTGATGTCTATTAAAGTATGATGGACAAGCGAAGGCCTTCCCACATTCCTTACACTCATAAGGTTTCTCGCCAGTGTGGACTCTCTGGTGTTGGATGAGATGTGCTTTCTGCCTAAAGGCCTTCATACACTCCTGACACTCATAAGGCTTCTCATTAGTGTGAGTTCTATAGTGTTTCATGAATGCTGAATGACAGAGAAAGGCCTTTTCACAATAGTTACACTCATAAGGTTTTTCACCAGTGTGAATTTTCTGGTGATCATTCAAGTTGGAAGCCCAAGTAAAAGTCTTTCCACATAAGTTACACTCATAGGGTTTCTCACCGCTGTGAATTCTTTGATGTCTGGTAAGGTTTGCACTCTTGTTAAAGGCCTTCTGACATTTGTGACATTCGTAAGGCTTCTCATTGGTGTGTGTTCTCTGATGTTGAAAAAATGTAGAGAAGTAGAGGAAGGCCTTCCCACAGTGCTTGCACTCATAGGGCTTCTCATCCGTGTGAACTCTCTGGTGCTGGACGAGCAGGGAGCAGTTAGTGAAGGCTTTCCCACATTCCTTGCATTCACAGGGCTTTTCGCCAGTGTGAAAGCGATTATGTTGAACAAGGTAAGCATGCTTTTCAAAGATCTTGCCACAGATCTCACACTGATACGGCTTCTTATTGATCTGATATGGGGCAAGATGGAAGTCATAGGCAAATCCTCTGCTGCACTCCTTCAACTCATCACACTTCTCGCCAGCAAAGTCCTGCCGATGCTTCATCTGATCCGCGTAGTAGACAAACGTGTTCTCGTACACTTCGTTAAGTTTGTCACTGGCAGGAACTCTTCCCTGCTGAGTAATGGACTCGCCTGCCTCCTGTTGATAGTGTTTTGTCTCAGAGTGAGTCACTTCACTCAGAGCGATGGGTGTAGGCTGAATGAATTCGGCTGCCATCTTTTCCAACGGGGCTGCCACTCTCTGTACACACTCCTCTGTGGATTCCGCTTGTACCTCAAGGGGTTCCTTGCATCTCCAGTCATTTCCAAAACTAGATTCCTCAAGGCAAGAATTACCGACTCTTTCTATTATTTTCCATTTCAATGATTCCTTTCCAAAGATGCCACGCTCTAGAGATAAATTCTTCGTTTCATTTACAGACAGCAAATCTGAAAGGAAAATACATATTTAGTACTAGAAGACATGAAACTCTACATCAGAAATGGGTGACTGGTGGGGAATGCCTTAAATCTGAGCACTGGGGAGGCAGAGGCAGGAGGATCTCTGTGAGTTCAAAACCAGTCTGGTCTACAATGAGCATTCCAGAACAGCCAGGGTTGTTACACTGAGAACTCCTAGCTTGAAAAACAAAAACAAAACAAACAAAATAAACCACAAAATGATTTTTTAAAAAGAATTATTTTTATTTCTATATATATATATCACATCACTGTTTGGTCTTTATGTGAATCTGTGCAGCATGTGAAATCACCCTGCTACAGAGACCAGAAGGCAGCTTCAGGTCTCTGGAATTGGAGTTACAGAGTTGTGAGCTACCATAGGAATGCTGGGAATTGAACCTGGGTCCTCTGGAAAAGAAGCCAGTACTTTTAGCCACTCAGCCATGTATCCAGCCCCAAAATGATCTTACAGTGCTTGCTGCAGTGTAAGAGAACTGGACTTTAGATCCTCAGAACTCATGGAACCACCAAGAAGGCAGGGAGGCTCGCTTTTAATTCTAGTCTCAAAAGGCAGAGAGACAGGGAAGCTGTCTCCCAGGGCAAATTGACTAGGAAGATTAGGGTTTGATTAAGAAACCCTGCCTCGGGCTGGAGAGATGGCTCAGAGATTAAGAGCATTGCCTGCTCTTCCAGAGGCCCTGAGTTCAATCCCCAGCAACCACATGGTGGCTCACAACCATCTGTAATGGCACACATGCAGGCAGAACACTGTATACATAATATGTATATACTGTATACATATATCATATATTATATATTATATGCTATATAATATATACATATATTATATAATATCATATATATAAAGAAACCCTGTCTCAAAATGGAAGAATAAAAACAAAGCGATCAACAGAGATTGCCAACATTAACCTCTGGCCTGCACATGAACTCACACACATGTGAACATGAACACACACAAATATATACTACATATACACAAAAAGGGAAAAACTCAGAAAGCAACTGGGGCAGATAAGACGGCTTGGTGTAGAAGGGTTTTCTGTCTATGTGTTACTTTCATTGGTTAACTAAAGAAGCTGCCTTGGCCTTTTGATTGGCCAGCCCTTAGGTGGGTGGAGTAGACAGAACAGAATTCTGGGAGAAAGAAGGCAGTGTGGCAGATGCCATAGCTCTCCTTTCTGAGACGGATGCTGGTTAGACTCATGCTGGTAAGCCACAGTCAAGTGGCAATACAGATTATTAGAAATGAGTTAGATCAATATGTGAGAGTTAGCCAATAAGGGGCTGGAGATAATGGGCCAGGCAGCAATTTAATTAATACAGATCTCCATGTGATTATTTAGGGGATATAAACTAGCTGGGTGGCGGGGACACAGCTCACCGCTCCTTTTACTACAGAGTGGCTGCCTAACGTGGTCTACTAACACCACGTAAAACCTGAGAGGGCTTAAAAAGGAGAGAGAGAGTTTCATACAGCCTTTTGCTGTTTACTGGCAGGGTGCTGCAGAGAGAATTTCCTCACTCGGCAGAAAAGTGGCAGTTTTAAAATACCAGCTTTCTGGGCTGTGCTGCCATTGTGACCTCTGACTCTTTTGGGAGACAGAGCATTTGGAGTAAAGTGCTACAATTTGTTTGATGGCAACTAGACTCACTGTGTGCCTAAAAGGGGGACATTGTGTGCTGCAGCTCAGAGGCGCAAGCAGTTCTGCCATGCTAGAGGTGCAATGTGCAAGGATCAGAGGCACAAGGGGCTCCGCCATGTTGGACTGGGCGGAGCAAGCCCGCAGTACCTGTTTTTGACCTAGGAATGTAACAGCTTAGATTCTTAAGTGCTTAGTGATTTAAAAGCACAAAGCAAAAATGTTCCTGGACAGTAAAAAAGTTACAGGCAATGCAATAGGACAGATTCAGACATAAAAGACCTCTAAATGGATCATAGTGTTAGACATACGTAGGCTTGGGAGAGAGAAGAAAAAGAATATAGAGAATAAAGTTAATGCTTTAAAAAAAAAAGGGGGGGTAAAGTCTTTAAAGAGACAGAGTACAGATAGTTATAATTAAAAGAAATAAGAAAAAATAAGCCATGTAAAATGGAAAATTCACAGAGAGTTTGGATTCTGTATATTGTATTTTCTTTAAACTTTTTGATTGTGAAGGATCTAAATACAGAGAGACATTTCACTTTGTGGGCTGCTAAGCTGATCCAACATGTATGTTCTAAAGGTATTATGACTTCCAAATTTGGGTCTAAGGATATGATGCTTTGGAAAGGGTCTTCTTTTGTTTTTACAGAGGATGAGACCCTGTGGATTGCTTCTATCCCAATATGGTATGACAGACCACACCCTCCTGAAAGGTTACTGTGAATACCCTCAAAAAATTACTTCACTCAACTGCCGACTGAGAGGAACCTAGCAAACAGGATATACCATGAAAGACCTGAATAACAGCGCCCCCATACAGCAGGAAGCAGTTTGGAGAGAAAAAACTGTGCCCATATTCCCAAATATTGTTTATAAATGTTTTTACATTTAAAGGGGGATATGATATATATGAATAATTTGGATTGATATGAATCTTGGTTTACTGATACTAATTTAAGGTCAATCTTGTTATATGTATATTTCTGCTCTTGATTAAGGTATTGTGATTGTGTAATTCATTTAAAAATGTAATGTATAATTAAGAAATATAGGTTAATAGATAATCATCAATAATAGTCAAGCTTGTAGTCATGTTAGATTTTCTAGATATGTAGAGATATATTTCAGTTTGATAGGCATTCATCATATCTTTCAAAGACTATAGAATATGGCATTTAATGTTTTAATAACTTAGGGCTTTTCATGACAATGAGACACGTGTGCTCCTGGCAGCACCAGCTACTTCAAGAGAAAGATGGGCATCGAAGAGGCTCCTTATGGAGTTTGCTAGCCATTTGGGCAAGAAACTGCTCTTGCCTGGACTTTTGCATAAACTGGACACAAAGAACCCGCAGAGAGAAGACTGCTGAACTTGCCTAAAGGTGAGATGATCCTTTGGGGTTCCTGTTTCATGAAAGAGTCTGTGAGACATTCTGCAGGACACAGAAGAAAGTGACTGAACTGTCTTTGAAATTTTCTGCTTCATGGAAAAGTCTGCTGGATACTATGGGCCTGTAGGCTGAAGATGGATGCCCCAACGGTACAGAAAAACTTTGAGTGACTGTCCAGGCAGCAAGATGTCTCTGTCATTTCTAGAGTTTTGGAAGTTGCTTACTTCTCATTTACTTAGGTAATATTATATCCTTCTGGAGTCTTTGATGGAGTTGAAGAATGGTTAGTTATAGTTTTCCTTTGTTATGATAAAAGATAAAATAAATATAAATATTGTGACTAACTCTTGCTTGATAACTTTTGTTATATGTAATTTTATTATGTTAAAATGAAAGCCTTTCTTTTTTGTTTAAACAGAAAAAGGGGAAATGGTGTAGGAGGGTCTTCTGTCTGTGTTACTTTCATTGGTTAAATAAAGAGACTGCCTTGGCCTTTTGATAGGACAGCAGCTTAGATAGGTGGAATAGACCAAACAGAATGCTGGGAGAGAGAAAGCAGAGTCATGCAGATGCCATGCTTCTCCTACCCAAGACAGACGGTGGTTAGACTCATGCTGTACAGTGCAGTCAAGTGATACACACTTATAGAAAAGTGTTAATCAAGACGTGAGAGTTAGCCAGTAGAGGCTAGATATAATGGGCCAGGCAGTGTTTAAATGAATACAGTTTCCATGTAATTATTTCGGGTAAAGCTAGCCGGGAGCTGGGCGGAGGGAAGTGGCCCGCCACTCCTTTTACAGCAACGGCTCAGCGAATAAAGGTGCAAACCCGATAATCTGAGTTCAGTCCCAGATCACACAAACTCCTAAAAGTTGTCCTCTGACCTTCACGAATGCACCCTAAAGTGCACATGTACACTGTTAAGTCTCAAACCCTGGAACAAATGGCAGAGGTGTCTATTTAATATATAAAAGCTGACCTGGAAACTCCTAGGGAGAAAGGAAGACTGTCCAGGAAGAAGCTGAGAGGAGCCATGAGGGAGAAGGGGTAAATGTCTGGTAACAAGAATTTCAGTCAAATTTCGACTGGAGCATCCCCAAGCAGACAGAGAGACTTGTTGGAGAGAAATGTCCCAAATCACAGAGTGGCATCCCTTTCCATATGATGGGGGCCCAGAAATGTGAGCCTATTTCTACCTGGTCTGAAGGTCAGAGATCTACCTTGCTCAAAGTTGTTGCCATTCCACCCTGACCAAAAGTCATAGAGTTGGAACTTACTTCTAGTCCTTCAAGGTTATTGTTTGTTTCTACCTCAGACAAAGGTCCCACCTAGATTTAGATCAGAGAGTTCTGCTCTCTGTTAACAAGTGTGGCTAACATTCAGCCTTGTATTTCAGGAATAGAGAAGTAGACCTGTTTCTACCTCAAACAAAAGTCTAAGGATCCAACTAAGTTCCTACTCTCTCCTGGAGATAACAATGGATTCCACCCAGGGAGTGGTTTGCCTGCAGAATGTTTTGGTTAGGGTGTGAGCGTTACTTATCTTGTTCTAGCAACAGAATGTTTAACTATGTATGTAGCCTGCAACCTTCAACTGACCTGCTCAATTCCTTGCCTCTTGTTAATAAAGTTTTTTTTATCTTACTCCTTCCTTTTGAGGTTAGGGGTATTTTAAGCAAATGGAAATTAAATGCATGCAATTTCAGCATTCACTGGAACTCCCTCCCGTACTATCCTATATTTTTTGTTTTATTATTTTCATTCACATCTAAATTCCCTTTACTAATTTTCCTAATCCCCATGTCCCTACCCTGGTAAGTGATTTTTTTGTTGAAGCTGATCCTAGACAGTAGACAAAGCAGGAAACTCCATAGTGACACTTACCCAGTAGAAGGGGAGAAATGAGAGGTTAGAGCAGGCAGAGGAGAAAACAGCTGTAGACGTGCAAGCGTTTTAGTAAGTAGGGTTGCACACATGTGAAGCCCCAAAGGGCACAGCAGGGCCCATATGGTGGGTGGCCCAAACGGCTTAGCAAAGAGATGCCTACATGGTGGGTACCCCAAAAGGGTACAACAGGGAAAGAGAACACTTATTGAGTCAGTAAAGAGAGATGGTTAGATAAGGTTGTTATGGTTTAAGTAAAATGTTGCAGATTCGTAGAGAGCCTGGCCAAGTCATGGCACCAATGTTATGGTTTAAGTAAAATGCTGCAGGTTCCCTGGGAGGCGCAGAGGCAGAAACGCTGCAGGTCCCCAAGTGATGGCAGGCAGCAGGTCCTGAAACCACGGCAGGCCATGAAGGGCAGCAAATCCCAGGCAAGGAGCCGCATGGTGGGTGAGAGACTGAGATGGACAGACACGCCACAAGACCACACCGCAGGTCTCTGAAGGCAGCTGGTCCTGGGTAGAGAGCCACGTGGTGGGCGAGAGACAAAAACATGGATAGGCATGCCATGCAGAGTGAAGTTGGATATTTATTTAGTGGGTTATGGAAGGGAAGGGGAAAAGAGGAAGAACAGAGAGAGTGAGAGAGGCAGAAACAGAGAAGGGGGAAGGGAAGAAGTGGGGAGAAGGGAAAGACAGGAGCTGCCTCTTCAAGAATGAGATGGAAAGGAAGGGACTCAGGGGAAACTGAAGATCAGCTTGCCTCGGTAGACAGGGGAGGGAGTGGGCGTGCCTTGTCTCTTAAATGGTCAGGACAGGCCATTACAAAGGTGGAAGGGAGAAGCAGCTAAAGAGACGGAACTGAATTTGGTGGGTGGCAGAAGCCAGCAGAAACAAATGATCAGTACATACCCAGGAGAGTCAGATCAACAGCTTGGTTCAGAGAGGCTGAGTTCCCTAGAAGGGCGTTCATTTATGACACTCTTGGGCTTCAGCAGCAGATGGATGAAAAAAGAAATTAAAAGGAAAGGAAAGGACATGACTGCTCCCGGGGATGGGGGAGATCCCAAGAGGGGTGGTGGTCAGTCACCCGAGGCCTTGGTGGGTCCCCTGGTGGGTGGCCTGAGGCCTCAGCGGGAGACAGATGATAGATAGATATGCCATGCAGAGAGAGTTTGGGTATAAAGTTTATTTAGTGGGTTATAGAGGGGAAAGGGAATGGGAATGGGAAGGGGATAATGGAAGAAGGGGGCAAGAAGAGAAAAAGGCAGAAGCTACCTCTCCAGAAGAAGGAGGGAGGAAGGGAGAGAGAGAGAGAGAGAGAGAGAGAGAGAGAGAGAGAGAGAGAGAGAGAGAATGAGATCTGCTTGCCTTGGTGGAAGGGAGAGGTTGGGAGTAGGTGGGGCTTGTCTCTTAAAGGGACAGGGTATCCAGGTGACAGACCAGACCAGCAGATTACACTGATAGCCAGGTCCACTTTGATATGTTAAATGGGCGCACCTCAGCCATTTGTCCCAGGGTTTATAAAACAAAATAATAAGGATTTTAAAAATTAAATGGCATAGGTAACCCTGGAATGATTACATTAATATCAGATAGAATAGACTTCATGATAATCCACACTGTCAAAGACAATTTTATCAAAGCAATTAAAGGTCATACTCATCTGTCTGGCAATCACAGTTATAATCACAGTTATATAATTCTATGATAACAAAGTCTCACAATTCATAAGGGAAAACAGAAATAAGAAATGACAATCCTCCAATCACAGCTGCAGATGCTTCAATTATCTCCCATAACATACACAGTCAGACTCCTCCAAACAGTCAATCAAGACAACAAAATTACACATAGTACTGGGCAACATTATTAATAAATAAAATAAAACTGTCTAATTTTTATAAAGATGACATCAACAACGGCTAAATGCTGTGAGATGGCACAGCCAGCTAAGGGGTTTGCTGTCAAGCCTGAAGACCTGACTTTGATCCTGGAGAACCACATGGTACAATGAGAGAACCCACTCCCACTAACTGTGTGCACGTGCGTGCACATACACACTCAAAATAAAAGTAGACAAAAAAACCTGGGCGGTGGTGGCACATGCCTTTAACCCCAGCACTTGGGAGGCAGTGGCAGGTGGATCTCTGTGAGCTTGAGGTCAGCCTGGTCTAAAAGAGCTAGTTCCAGGACAGCCAGGGCTGTGACACAGAGAAACCCTGTCTTGAAAAATCAAAAACCAAAAATAAACAAACAAAAAAACCAAACATACAAACAAAAAAAAGTAGAAAAAAAAAAGAGAAAGAAAAGATAAAGAGCCGGGCGGTGGTGGCGCACGCCTTTATTCCCACCATTCGGGAGGCAGAGGCAGGCGGATCTCTGGGAATTTGAGGCCAGCCTGGTCTACAAGAGCTAGTTCCAGGACAGGCACCAAAGCTATAGAGAAACCCTGTCTTGAAAAACCAAAAAAAAAAAAGGAAAAGAAAAGATAAAGAAAAAGCAAGCTGCTGGTCCTCTCCCTTTCTCAAACTATTTCTTCCAGAACACTGGTCTCACAGCGGACTCTGTACACTGCAGGAGAGGGCAATCACTGCCGCTCTATGACTAGTGTGGCCTTCCCCAAAAGGACCCCAGCTGCTCCCAACATCCTTACGCACCTGGATACCATCCTGCTTGCTCCACCATCCACGGTTCTTTGCCTTGCTCCAGCAGTGAAATTACTAAAGGCTTAGAAATGGCAAGTCCTACTCAGAGAAAGAGAATGTTAAAAACAAATAGAGAAACAGACAACAACAGGCAAACAGTATTTGCTATATAATTAGTTTAACCGAAAACAAATTTCGGATCCTCAGGATGATTGTGATTTAAAACAAATGAATAAAAAAGTTGCTGTTTAGCAAGCAATTACTAAACAATTGTTGCTTGCAGAGATCACCGATGAAAATTAAAATTATGAGAAAGTATGTATATAGCATATCAAAGGACTTCAAAGAAAGCTATTTACCAGCTGTTAAGTGGTGGCTTTGGGGACGGAGAAAAAGCTCACCAGTTAAGTCCTGCATGCGGCAGACCTTCCTCTCCGCAGATCTTCATCTCTAGCATTAAGGGAAACATCTGGATTATGAGAAACAGACGGCCTTACCCAGTGACACAAAGTTGCTGTAGGTCTCCAGCATCACATCTCTGTATAAAGACCTCTGCTCAGGGCCCAGGCACTCCCATTCCTCCTTACAGAACTCCACAGCCACATCCCTGAACACCACCAGCTCCTGGACGGAGAGTACACAGGCAAGATCAGAGAAAATCACGTCAGGCAAACGTTAAGGTTTTCAAGGTTTTTCCAGGGCAAGGCACGTCCCCTCCCAGCACTAGGGAAACTGAACATTTCAAAACCTTGGCCTTTAGCTCCTGAGAAACCATTTCTGAGCACCTGGATGTCCTGCCTGATGAGTTGTTTCTTTGCCGTATGCCTGACTGAGGCCTTGGGCTGGGCCAGCTTGACCTTTAGGAGGCTGGAGAGTCAGTAACAAAGATGAGTTGTAGCCACCATGGGTAGGCCAGCAAAAACCCCAGACAAAGAGCATTTGTTAAGCGTTGCTTGCTGGTCATACTTGCTACACATTGTCTCATACCATGGCTAGGAGAACTAAGCATGTCTCCAGACTTCCACCAAGGGGACACAATGCAGACTTTAGACTTCGCCCTTGGCAAACTTCTCTTTCCTGGTCTACATTCTTTTTTTTTTTCCTTTTAACTTATTTAACCTATTTATTTTGTGTGCATTGGACTGAAGGTGTCAGATCCCCTGGAACTGGAGTTATAAACAGTTGTGAGCTGCCATGTGGGCCCTGGGTGTTGAACCCAGGTCCTCCAGAAGAGCAGCCAGTGCTCTTAACAACTGAGCCATCTCTTCAGGCCCCTTTCCTGCATTCTTTTGAGGTAAATTCACAAGTATTAGGATAACTGCTTCTCTTAGTTGTGCAAATTCAACCAAAGAATCACTCCAGTCTATCCAGACAAGTGGTTCACTCCCGTAATCCCGGCACTGGGAAGGACAGTTAGAAATTCAGGGCTAGCCTGGGTCTTAGTTAGGGTTAAACCTGTGATAAAACATCCCAGCCAAAAGTAACTTGAGGAGAAAGAAGTGTATGCCCCTTATGCTTCCAAGGTACCATTCATCACTGAGGGAAGTCAGGGAACGAACTTAAATAGGATGGTACCAAGAGGCAGGAGGAGATGCAGAGGCCATGGAGGGGTGATGCTTACTGGCTTGCTCCCCATGGCTTTCTGCTTTCTTATAGAACCCAGGACCACCGGCCCAGAAATGGTGCCACCACAGCAAGCTAGACCCTCCGCACCAATCACTAATTTAAAAAAATGCCCTATTGGCTTGCCTTCAGCCTGATCTTATGTAGGTATTTTCTCAATTGAGAGTCCCTCCTCTCGGATGCTAGCGTGTGTCAAATTGACATGAAGACTAACCAGGACATCTAGGGTACACAAGTTCCAGACCAGCCTGTGCTACAGAATGGCACTCAGTCTCAAGTAGGAAAAAACAAGAAAGCCAAACCCACAGACGAGGTACTGCAGTTGAGGTTAAAAGGAGCGTGCCGGAGAGAAGCCCAGCAGTGCACTGGGGCCCACAGAGAGGCGCACAGCAGGAGAATGTGCGGTCCAGTGTACGCAGCTGCTCAGGACGAAACCATCTGCTGCTGGCACCACCTGTTCTGGGAACCTAACACACTCAAACGGAAGCACGAAAACTATTCTGTGGGTGGTTTGGTTATGATTAAAATAGTAATAGGGACATAGCAATGGGCACACTCTTGGGGACAAGAGACACAGAAGACACTTGGAAAATAAAAAAGCATTGTACCCACATGAGAACCAAAAGCTGACTCCCTTCTCGCTTTTGTTCTGTCCCCTCGACTTTGGGTCACTCATAACTCTGCAAACAGGCATGCTGGCCACTGAGATGAAACCAGGAGACCGACACTGCTCGTCTCTTTCCTTCCAAGGCTAAAGCACGCAAGAGGGTGGAGGCACTGTACTGCAGTCTTTCTGTGTGTCTCCTCCAGAATCCCTAAACCTGCACTCACCTTGGATTTCAGGAATGGTATAGGCCTAAGGGCTGCCCCCGCCCCCAGATGTGGCCAACTGTCCTAAGGCCAAGGCCCAATCAGGCGCAAAAGTAACCGTCTGCTGAGAGTAAATCTGTCTCCTAGGACCCCAGGACTTCTGCCCACCAGCTCGCAGGAAGGGACAGGACGGGGACTAATCAGACCACACCTCCATCAGGATTACTTAATTATGCAGACCTGCCTCACCTTCCCAGACCTGTCCATCCTTCCCAGAGTTAGCCCTAAAAGCTCAGTGCCTCAAAGATAGTCTTAGCGCATCTTTAAAGGTCCCCTATGGCGCCTTTATCTCTGTGCGGCCACAAAATCAACTTCTCTGGTCTTTGCAGTGTTACTTATTCTTTATCTATTTTAATTTTTAAAATTCCTATGTGTGTACACTGAGGTCAAAAGAGATGATTTAGAAAAGGGAAACAGGCCGGGCACGGTGACAGTGGCGCTCACCTTTAATCCCAGCGCTCGGGAGGCAGAGGCAGTGGATCTGTGAGTTCAAGGCTAGCCTGGTCAACAGAGTGAGTTCCAGGACAGCTTCGGCTGTTTTACATAGAGAAACCCTGTCTAGAAAAGTTTTTAAAATTAAAAAAATAATAAATGAATTTTAAAAGAAGTATTTTTGATTTTCTAGGTGGAAAGTTATTAAGCAGAACAGAAAAGACAATGGATTTCTAATGGGATTAATGAATAAAAAAATAAGGAATAAATTATACACCTGTTCTGGGGGGTTATCAAAGGATGTGCAACCAATAAATGACGTGGGAGCAGAAAGCTCACGAGCTCAAGATCATCCTTGGCTCTAAACCAAGCTCAAAGCAGCCTGAGCTACATGAGACCCTGTTAAAAAAAATTACTACATAATAAGATTGTCCCATTAAATAAGTAACCAAAGTAAAAATATAAAGACTGCATATTTAAAAGCAAAAGTGTTTTCCTTTATTTGCAAACATATACCAACACTTTTCTTTGCAGATATTTCTCCTTTTTTAATATTTATTTATTTATTATGTACACAATATTCTGTTTGTGTGTCTGCCTGCAGGCCAGAAGAGGACACCAGACCCCATTACAGATAGTTGTGAGCCACCATGTGGTTGCTGGGAATTGAACTCAGGACCTTTGGAAGAGCAGGCAATGCTCTTAACCTCTGAGCCATCTCTCCAGCCCTTTTTTTTTCTTTTTTTTTAGACAGGACCTCAAGTAGTGAGCTTGGAACTTACTGGGTGGCCTAGGGTGGGCTTGCTCTTGCAGCAATCCTGAATAACTTTATATTTCCCTTTTTCCTGACTCTCAGGCAACTGAGCACGCGATCCAGTCATGATCTCATTTGGTATATTCTATGTGTCAGTACCTGTTAACAACCAAATGCCTATTAATTCAGTCAGAACGAATCCAAAGTAAGTGCTGTTATTTCCTCCACTTTTTGATTAGGAAATTGAGGAACAGAAAAAAATGAAGTAAACTCATGAATCCAAAGGTATTGATATTCCTCACATGGCCAGAAGATGCTTGAATGAAAAAAGAAAAACAAAACAAAAACAAAAAACCCCATACAGCCTCCTGCAGTTCTCATATACTGAAGAAAACAGAATCACACTGGCAAAGCTCAACCTCACATGGTTACCATGACAACAGGTGACAATTCCATTTTCGGAATCAGCAGCCAGAAGACAGGTGACAGAAGCAATCCCACTCACCTTGAACACAGTGTTGACATCCACAATAGCCATGCTTCTCTACTCTCGGGGGCACTCTGGGAAATGGCAGAACGGGAAATGAAGAGAGAGTGAGAAACTAGGTCAAACATCCCATGACCAAAAAAGTCACAATCGAGACTGAAATGCTACTGAGGGACACTCGTAGGGACGGTGACAGGTTCTCATTCCTCCCATTTGTAAGGCCTGTGACCCACATAGGAAGTCCTTCCCACCCCATTAATAGGGTAAGGAATGTGCCATTGTGATGTGGAATAATGCTCTTGTACACTGTAAAGAATCATCACGTGAATTAGTTTAATAAAACGATGATTGGCCAGTAGCCAGGCAGCAAGTATAGGCACAATGGCCAGAATAGGAGAATTCTGGGAAGAGGAAAGGCAGAGAGTCAGTCACCAGCCAGACACAGAGGAAGCAAGATGAGATTGCCTTACTGAGAAAAGGTACCAAGCCATGTGGCTAAAAATAAACAAGAATTATGGGTTAATTTAAGTTGTAAGAGCTAGTCAATAATAAGCCTGAGCTAACAAGCCAAACAGTTTATAATTCAAATAAGCCTCTGTGTGTTTCTTTGGGACTGAACAACTGCAGGACCAGGCGGGACAGAAGCTTCCATCTACACAATTCCCATATGCCCTTATCACAAGGGTAGAATCCACAAGCTACAGCATCAGTGTCCCAGAAGATTCCCAAGGATAAATGCCATTGATGTATAGCATGCATAGAAAAAACTTCTTATGGACATGTAGACATTTTCTTTTTTCTTTTTTTAAATGATGGGGTCTAAGTAGACCAGGCTGGTCTTCAGCTCAGAGATCTGCCTGCCTCTGCCTGCCCCATGCCTGACTCCTTTAGCTTTCTCTCTCTCCTTTCTTTTTTCTGGCTCCTTTAATGAACTTTCTCCTCTCTCTCTCTTTTTCTAAAACAAGGTCCCACTGTGTAGCCCTGGCTGGCCTGAAACTCAAAATGTAGACCAAGATGACCTTAAACTCACAGGGATCTAACTGCCTCTCACTCCTGAGTACTGGGATTAAAGGTGTGTACCACTATGTTCAGTCTTTAAATTTTTAATTCTGCTATGTCTATAATGTCCAAGGCCCCTTCAAGTACCCAATAAAATGCCTGCTCGGGCTTTTCTGCGGGTAATATGAGTTTCCCCAACACTAGTGCTGTTTGTTCCCCTTTCTTCAACCCCCCAAAAAATTGCCTTAGAGTTTATGATCAGAATTGTTTTTAAAAGATTAATTTATTTTATGTTTATTGGTGTTTTGCTTGCATATGTGTCTGCATACCATGTGTACACCTGGTGCTTTAAGAGGTCAGAAAAGAGAACTGATCCCCCGGAACTGAAGTATGGGTGGTTATGAGCTGCCATGTGAGTGCTGGGAATTGATTTCCTCCACCTCATGCAAATAAAAAAGA